TTGCTTAACTGATTTTAATAACATGACATAAAGCCCCTAGACTTGATATAATCGTTATGCAAAATACATAGGTGAATACTGTCTTCTTTTAAAAATATAAAATAAATAAGCAAGACGTGAAAATAGGCAAGTTTCCATTAAATAAATGAAAATTTAAAAAAAAGAAAGTTTTGCTTTCCATGTCATTTGAAGAAGGGAAATTATCATTTTAAACAATATTCAAGTTTATTAAACAAATAAAAAAAGTATTATAAAATGTTTAACTTTCATCAGCTTCAAGGTTTATGTTGCTCCCAAATTTTGCATACAACTGAACTTTCAAATCTGCTAACACCCGCTGAATTGATTCCACTCTGGATTCTAAGGCGTCAATTTCTTCTTGCAAATTTTTCTTTGCTTCTTCTAACATTTCTTGTGTTTCTTCTTGAGAATGGCTAATGAAAACATCACCAATTTGATAAGGTATCATTAAGCAGTCATCATCTGCAAGCATGATGTCATCACAAGCATCCTCTAGGTTTTGGAGTTGTTTCTTTTTTACTTCTATTTCTTCCTTCAGCTCTGTGATTCTACTTGTATTCCGTGCAAATTTGTTTATCTTTTGTTGATCTTCGAAAGTAACATTGACATCTTCTGCAGCCGCCTTCTTCATGGTGGCCGCCATCTTGGGACTGCTGTTTTGTAGTTTTAGTAGAGACGGGGTTTCACCATGTTGACCAGGATGGTCTCGATCTCTTGACCTCGTGATCCACCCGCCTCGGCCTCCCAAAGTGCTGGGATTACAGGCTTGAGCCACCGCGCCCGGCCTTCAAAGGTAACTTCTTAGATTCTAGCCTGAGAAACTGGGTATACAACGGTACTATTAAAATGAGAAGGAATGGGGGAAGAAGCAAGTTCACAGGGGCCAAGAAAATAAAGAATTATTTAAGTCTATACGGGGTGGAGGGCACTACGGAGAAGGCAGTGGGAGAAAGGCGGATGCAAAGAGGAGAAAGAAGAGGTAGAAGAGGCTGAGCATGGTAGCTCATGCCTGTAACCTCAGCACTTTGCTAGGTCGAGGCAGAAGGGGGACCTCATCTCTGCAAATAATTTTTAAAAAGAAAAAAATTTAGCCAGACATAGTGGCACACGCCTGTGGTTCCAGCTATGTGGGAGGCTGAGGTGGGAAGATTGCTTGAGCTCAGGAGTTCAAGTCTGTAGTGAGCTGCGATTGTGCCACTGCATTCTAGCCTGCGTGACAGAGTAAGATCTTGTGTCAAAAAAAAAAAAAAAAAAAAAAAGGCAGAAGAAGTAAATAAAAAGGACCTGAAGACAGGAAGAAATCAGGGCACTGGGAAGTGGGTAGTATTATGATCCCAGTTTGATGGAGGAGGGCCCTGAGGATCAGGGGATGAAGTAACTAGCACAAGTATGCTATTCTAGCAGCTAATGCAATTTTGCTTGATGCCAACCTTGTGCAGGAGGGCCCAGGGTCTCATTGCCCATGAACTTCTATCCTGGCTACTATTCTGCAGAGAGGAGAGGACAAAGTTCTGCATTTTCCTCCTTACTGTGGTGAGAATACCAGCCCAGGCGTGTTGCTCCATGGAGACCAACCCCAGAAAAAGAAAAAGGGCTAACCTTATCCAAGAGCAGGAGGAAGTTAGGGCTGTCCCTTCCCATGACTGGTTTCCAGGGTGTCAGGCCATCACCAAATTCATATAATTTGGAGGTTGTTGCGGTTTGATTTTTCTTTTCGAACTTTTTAAACCACACATTTTTTCTTGGTTGCCCCCTTGATTGATGGAGAAGAGAACAGGGACCTCTTAGCTCACTGCCACCCACACGGCTGTGAAAGAAGCCAGCTGCCCTCTTGCTCTTCAGAGAACATCCCTTCCTCCCTCCCTCTCTCTCACCCTTCTTCCCTGCCAGCATATTGGCTATTACTAACCAACAGGGCATGTAAGGAAAAGGGCTCCTTTCAGGGCTGGAGTGCTATAGCTGGTGGGTCACAGCCTGTGTGGGAGGCTTCCCCAAAGGCATATGATGCTGGTGTAGGAACCAGACAGACGGAAGGAATTAAATCACCCTTTTCCCCAACCCTAATTTCCTTGCCCAACCTAGAAGTCGCTGGGTTGGTTTCCTTATAATGAGGCAGTAGTTTTATTTCTACTGTCCCCCAGCTTTTGACAGTGGGCAGGCTTCAATGGGAGTGTGAAAGGAGGAAGAAGCTAGCAGTTCGTTCTTTCTTCATGCCGCTAGGTCTGGGTTAGGACGGCTGTGTAAATCATGTACTCACCCGGGGTTCTCTAGAAAAGCCTGACTTCTTTCTGTGTTGTCGGTGGTACTGGGTGGGTTGGGCGGCCCTGGGAAGCACTGTGCTTGGTTAGCAGGGCCTGATTGGGTCCATCTGAGAGTAAGTGTTCTCTCCGGCCCATGGATGCAAACTCAAGTCCTGGGACTCCAGGCCTGAGAAGTGTGACTCAACCCCTTTTCCAGGTGTGTGTGTGGACACCTTCCGGAGAAAGTCTGTCACCCACCCCCTCCAGCTATGTGGGAGGCTGAGGTAGAAAGATAACCTAGTCCCAGCTGGGTTGGTCTCTCCTCCCCTGTGCTCTCACATCTCTGAGCCTTGGACAAGGCAAGGAAAACGCGTCCTCTTCCCACAGCAGCTTTGCTGCTCCTCTCCCATGGCTTTCATCACGCCGTGTATTGCCATTGCTTGCTCATTTGTTCCTCCCACTGTGAATTCTTGGAGGTCATGGAGTGTGTCTTTTTGCACACTGTATCCCTGCACCCAGTCCAGTCTATAGCACACCAGAGGCTCTCCCTAAATGTTTGATGCATGCATGGATGGATGGACAATTGAATAAATGAATGAGTGCATGAATAAATGGATGAGCAAAACAGAGTAGAGGGGAAAGATTCAGGCTCTAGATCAGACAAACCTGGGTTTGAATCCTCATCATGCCATTTTCTGGTTATATAATAATCTTAGATAAGTCATTTAACCTCTCAAAACCTCAATTTTTTTTATTAGGATTTTTTGTGGCAATTACAGGGCATTTAAAGCATTTATCACAGTGCCTGGCAGCATGGAGTAAGTACTCAATACAGGAAAGCTTTTACTATTCCTAACAAGCTCTCCCAGTTTGTACCCTCACAGTTCTTGTTCGAACCTCCTTTTCTAGATTTTTTGTCACAGTGGGTCCCTACCAGACTCGAGGCTTGGCCTGCAGGGCTGCCCAAGTGGGCGCACGTTGGGGTCAGGCAATGTAAGTGGAAACAGCACTGGATTTTGCTGAGAAGGGGAAACTGTGACAGAGGCCTGTCTGAAACCAGGCAAACAGGTCAGCTGCCACCCCCATTGTCTCAGGTCTTCCTTGCTGGCATCGTGCTCAAGAAAACAGGAACAGTGCAGCATTTAAGGTGCCCGGATGACAGCCACATCAAATATGTGACCTTTTCCTAGGAAGCCTGGTTTCCATGGTGAGCTCCTTCTCAAGCCATGCTCTGTGGCTCTCAGCCCACTCTGGAATGTGACGGCAGTGGCCCCAGCAGCTGGGTAGGGACATCTACCCAGGGGCTGTCCCCCGAACATCTCCAGGGTGGAGGAGGAGCTGAGATAGCCCCCTGGGCTGTCTGATGCCCACACCAGCCTTCCAACCTAGAAGGATTTACACTGAGGCCCTGACACTATCTCCCTCTCCTCCCCTTCACCCACACATGGCTCATGGCCAACTGGCTGCCAGGCTGGGCAGAAAAAAGGCGCCTTTTTCTGTGAACCCCCATCTCAGACAGAGGCCCTGACCCCCTCCACTTCATCATGGTAGCCTGAGCTTGAAGTGAGTTTCTGCCTCCCTGGCCTTGGCAGAGCGTGTGCTCAGCCCAGCCCCTGCAGCTGCCAGAACAGGAGTTGAATGCCCAGTGTGTCTGCCAGAGCTTGCTAACTTCTTTCTTCTTTCTCTGAGCTATGCAAACAGAGGCTGCTGAGGAATGTGGCTGCTAACCTCCCCACCACCCGCCTCCCTCCTCCTGGGGCTTGTGTTCCCCCAAACCCCCAGGCTGGAGTCACATCAGAAAAATGTGGGGGAAGAAAGAAATCCCCCAATGTGTCATGACATTACATTTCCGCCTGGTCCTCAGAAACAAGAAAAGTCAGGAGGGGAGGGAGAAAAGAGGTGGTGTGGTCATAGCCAGAGCCCTGTGTCCTGTGACTGCTTCACCCCTGCCTCCCCGGGGCAGATCACCTGCTCCCTTGGGGACCTGCCTCCTCATTAATAAATGGGGGCAAATTGCTGTGACTCAGATTGCAGAGAAACTCAGAATTATCTGTTTGCTATCATTGAATAGCATTGATATCACTAAGTTGGTAATTATTGAGCGAGTGTACTGCTCACACGTATTCATTGAACAGACATAGGGGATTCCTACTTTGTTCTAGAGGCTAAGAACACAAGGGTGAACAGGACAGAGGCCCCGCCCTCTGGGAACTTGCACGTGAACAGGAAAGGCAGATAATTAAGCCACAATAATCAAATGTCAAGAGAGAGCTGTGCTGGGCAGTAGGAGGTGCCAAGTTGACTGCTGTGGTCCAGGGGTCAGGGATGACACTTCTCTGAGGAAGTGAAAATCAAGCTAAGGCCTGAAGGATGAGCAGCTGTGGTGCAAGCAAAGGATGGGGGTTGAAGTATTCTAGGCCAGGGGAACAGCCAGAGTAGAGAGGGAGGCTGATGTGAATGAGGAACCTAATTGGTGTGACGACTGTACACAGCTGGCTTGGGGTCAGCGGAAGAGGCTGCAGAGGGAGGCCAGGCCAGATCATGCAAGGCCTTCAAGACTGTGCCAAGGAGCTTGAACTGAATCCTCAGGGTGGTAGACAGCCAGCCCCGGGTGTTCAAGTGAGTGTGGGTAGGGGTGGCATGCTGGGATCTGTTTTGGGGTGGATGACTTAGGGTGGAGAATGGGCTTGAGGGGTAGTTATAATCAAGCAGGGAGAGAGGTTAGGTGGGGACTGTTACAGTATCTAGGCACTGTTGGTAGCAGCAGTGGAGAAGAAGAGAAGATACGAATTCAAGATCTCTGTAAGAGATATGTAGAGGATGAGAGAAAGGGAAGAGTGAGAAAGAGGAAACGTGTTTTGAAACCAACTACCCAGTCTCTGACACAGGAAGGCACAGGAGTGGATAAGATCACTTGACGAGTCCAGGGCTTGCATCCATTCATTTGTCCCAATTTGTAGGTGCTTACACAGATACAGGACAGACAGAAGTGAAGGTAAGCCACTTCTTCCCCTTCCTTAACAGGACAGGATAGGCCCTCAACCCATTTTGGTCCCTCCTGCAAGTTGAGTAGACCTCTAGGGTGAAATGATTCCACAGTAGTTAGTTTGTTGGCCCTGACACTGGCTACCCCTGCCTCTGCCTTCAGATTGGCTGCCATCCATCCTCACTTTTCTTTCCTTCTCCTCAACAAGCATTTGTTGAGTATCTGCTATGTGTTGGGGCTCATTCCGGAAACGCAGCAGTGAATGAAGCAGAGGTTCTTATATTAGTTTATTTGTGTTTTTTCTGCCTCTCCCACTAGAATGTAAGTTTCATAGGTAGAATCTGTGTCTTATCTTTCCTTCCACTGTATCCCTAGCACCCAGAATAATGCCTAGCACTTAGGAACTCTGGAAAGAACTGCCAGATAAATGGATGGTTGAATGAAC